CGTGGCCGCTGAGCCTGCGCGTCCGGAGCCTGTGCTCTGCAACGGGAGAGGCCACAACAGTGAGAGGCCCGCGTATCGCCAAAAAAAAAAAAAAGGACCTTAGAAGGAAATGTATGGTCTGAAATGACTATTTTAGAAAACAAGAATGGTTAAAAATTAATAAATTCTACAACTATCTAAAGATTATTAGGTGGGGGGGGGGAGGAAATAAACCCAAATAAGACAATATAAAAATGAGAACAAAATTAATTAAGCAGAATAAAGATATAACCAGAGAAGACTAACAGCTCAAAATTTAATTCTTCAAAATGAGGACTTAAATGAAAAATTACTTTCAAGATTAATAAACTATATTCATAATGCAAAAGAACTACTTTGAAGAGAACACAGATAATACACGTTAAGAGAATAAACAACTTTATACCAACAAATGCAAAAATTAGGTGATATCAATATTCCTAGAAAAGAGTCAGTAATCAAAACTGACTCTAAAAGGAACAGAAAATCTGAATAGCTCAGTAACACAGGCCCTTGATGGCTTCATAAGCTAATCTGACCAAACATTTAAGGCATGGATAATTACTATTTTACACAAACTCTCAGCGAACTGAAAAGAAGAAATACTCCTACTATTCATTTTAGTAGGCTTCTATAACCAAAACCAGACAGGATAGTATATAAACGGAAAATTCCAGGCCAAACTTGTTCAAACTCACAGATGTAAAAATTCTAAAAGAAATAATACTAGCAAACAGGCAAAAAAGATCATGACCAAATTAATTTAAGATTGGTTTAACATTACAGAATCTATTAATATAATTCACCACATTAAGGAATTCAAGGAGAAAAAAAAAATCACATACAAATTATTTCAGTGAATGTAGATAATACATTTGATAAAATTCAATGTCAATCCCATTCATGATAAAAATTCTTAGCAAAATAAGAATGAAAGGGAATACTTCTGTAACCAAAGGATAATCTACAAAAACTTACAGCACATATCATATTTAATGGTTAAATATTGAAAGCAATTTCCTAACTACCAGGAGGTAAAACAATAAGAATGTTAGCTCTTATTACTTCCATTAAACACCACAGAGGTCTTAGCAGACATAATAAAACAAGGGATAAAATACTGGAAAGGGAAGAAGAAAACTGCCTTTATCCAAAGTGGTTATTATTATCCATATAGAAAATTCAGAAATGAAAATCTACATAGTACTAGAATTTGGGATTCATATTCTTATTAAAAATTATATATATATATATGTATATGTGAAGTACGTACATCAAGACACTAAAAGCATACAGCGAGACACTAAAAGCGTCTACATAAAATATTTAATAAGTTTATCTTTAGGTGGTGGGTTTACGAGAGATTTTAACTTTTTTATTTCAGCATTTTAGTTTTCCCAGTGTCCTGAACCAGATTATTTTATAAAAGAATAAGAGAATAATGTTACAAGATGTCAAAAAATATATAAAATTCAATTTCATATCTACATACTAGCAACAGAAAGTGCAATTTAAAAATATTTAAAAGCAACACAAAATATAAGGATTTCTAGGAATAAACCAAAGATTTACAAAGCCTTTCTGAGGAAAATGATAACAATTAATTGTAAGAAATAAAAGAGGAATTTAATAAATAGAAAGACATACCAGGTTAATGGTTAAGAAGGCTCAATATCATAAAGATGTAAATTCTTTACAATTTATAGATCTGACACAACTCCAATCAAAATTGTCAAAGAGATTTTTTGGTAGAATTTGACAAGCTAATTATAAAATTAAATGGAAAAGAAAAAGGACACAAATAGGTAATACACTTCTAAAGAAAAAGAAATATGTAAAGGAGATTGCTCTACTAGAAAACAAGATTTATTATTAGACTTTAATAATTTAGGCAGGGCAGCATTTGTGCTGGGATAAACAAATGGAACGAAGAGAAAGCTCAGAAACAATCTTCCTCTGATAACCTGAGATATGACAGAGGTTGTGATGCAAAGGAGGGCCCATTTAAAAGGGTGGGATAATTATTTATCTTTATGGGGAAAAATGAAAATCCATCCTATCTGACACCATATCCTAAGATAAACTTTATATCAACTAATTCTACTAGAATAGAGGTGGGGAAACAGGAGTGGAGGATTAACTGTGATTGACAGTAAGAAACGTTTTCTCAGGAGAGATGACCTTTGACCTGCTCCTTCCAGAATGAAAAGGAAGAGCAATGTGGAAAATGGACTTCCAGGCTGAGGGAGCAGCAAGATCAAAGTCTGTGAAACTTTCTGGGAATAGACAGACCACCAGCCCAGCTGAACAGGAAAGACAGAGAAAGATGATGACGGCTGATTGGCGCGTCATGACATTTTTACACCTATACTCCACTAGGCCTTCATCCAGGCCAGAATCAGTCATGTTCACAGAAGGGAAATATTATAACTACAGTACTTCTATCCTGATACTCATCAAGAAAACACTTATTAATTGCAGCTCAGATATGCAAAAAGAAACTAAAAACATTTTTTAAAAGCTTGCGAGTTTAGGTTACCTTTTCTTTTTTTTCTCGGGTGTCTTGGTCCTCGTTATTAGTGATTTTTTTGGCCTTGTTATGTGCACTAGGGATGACCTACCACCACAAAAACAAGGAAGGGGGAAAAGGAAAACATTTAAATGTCACAATCATTACGTGGCTTTAATTTTTTTTAAAAACCATTAAAATCCTACTTAACTCTCTAACTTTCCCTAAAAGTAAAGATACGAGAAGTACAATTCAAGGCAAACAATACACCTTGGGAAATCTAACAAGCTATAAAACCCAAAATGTGCGTGTGTGTGTGTGTATGTGTGTGTGTGTGTGTGTGTGTGTGTGTGTGTAGCATCAAGGGGCAATAAGTTCACAGGCTTGTGTAGTTCCAGAAAGTGAAGATGAAGACTAAGAAGGTCACAATACTTACTGTCATCCAAACATCTCATTTTGCGAAATACACTTTTAAGGGTAAGCAAAGTTAATTCCTAGAACGCTGAATGTAATGTTTATTTCATAGATCTACCTTATTCATCATTGTATCCCAGTTCAAGTATGACATCTAGCACACTGTGCACCTTCAATAAATATTTCACCATCACTGCTAGCATATAAATAAATTACAAAGCTATTTACACTCCTGGATAAAAGGTCAATGAGAGCTGGAATTTAGTGTTATTTATCACTATAACCCTGTTGCTCAGAAAAAGCCTAATACATAGTAGTGTTGAATAAATGTTTATAAATGAGTTAAACAGCTCAATTTCATAGAAATAATTTTAATTCTTAATGGTGCCAACATAATAGATTACTTTTTGACTCATTTCTTTTTGTAAAACTATCTATAAAACATCTTAGGAAAACACAAAACTGTTAGTGATTTTTTTAAAAAGGATCCTTAAATAGCTAACACAAATAATGTTGGCATGAAATCTGACGACAGACATGCAAATTAAAAGGAAAAATAAATATCCTTTCTCAGAAAATTAAAGGAACTTCCTGCCTAGGGATAATTTAGAAAACAAAACCAAAAAAACACTTCTCTCTAAAGGCAATTTAAGGGACTTCCCTGGCAGTGCAGTGGTTAAGACTTCACCTTCCAATATAGGGGGTGCGGGTTCAATCCCTGGTCAGGGAGCTAAGACCCAACATGCTTCATGGCCAAAAAATCAAAACAAAAAACAGAAGCAATATTGTAACAAATTCAATAAAGACTTTAAATATGGTCCACATCAAAAAAAAAATCTTTAAAAAAAATAAAAAAGGCAATTTAAGATTAATTCTTCTTTACTTTTAACTTAGAGTCTAAGGAAATTAATTTTGGAATAAATAAAGTCTCAGGAATGTTTCACTTAAGTAAAAAACAACAGTAGTGATAAAGCAACATGTTTTTGGTGCTTCCTACGTAAATAGACACTGTACTTAATATTTATTTCTCTATTTATTTATTTTTAATATTTATTTGGCTGCGCCAGGTCTTAGTTGCGGCACACGGGATCTTCTATGCAGCATGCGGGATCAGTTGTGGCACGTGGACTCCTTTAGTTGCAGCAAGACGGATCTAGTTTCCCAACCAGGGATCGAACCTGGGCCCCCTGCACTGGGAGTGTGGATTCTTCGCCACTGGACCACCAGGGAAGTTCTCTGTTTAATATATACAACAACCTAAGTCAGAGTTCAAAAACTAGTGGGTCTACAGGTATATGTTTCTTGTCCTAAAGAATTTTAAGACAGGAGCTTCCCTTGTGGCGCAGTGGTTAAGAATCTGCCTGCCAATGCAGGGTACACGGGTTCGAGCCCTGGTCCGGGAAGATCCCACGTGCTGTGGAGCAACTAAGCCCGTGCACCACAACTACTGAGCCTGCGCTATAGAGGCCACGAGCCACAACTACTGAGCCTGCATGCCACAACTACTGAAGCCCACGCGCCTAGAGCCTGTGCTCTGCAACAAGAGAAGCCACTGCAATGAGAAGCCCACGCACCGCAACAAAGAGTAGCCCCCGCTCACAGCAACTAGAGCAAGCCCACACGCAGCAACGAAGACCCAACGCAGCCATAGATAAATAAAAATAGAATTTTAAAACAAATACTTTGTCTCTCTAGAAAGTTGTAATACCTGCCTACACTGGACCTACTTTCTCCTCTGAAAAAAACAGCTGAAACTGAATGGCAGAAGCTTCGTGATGGGACAAAATATTAGCTGCCATTCACAGAGTTTGCAATGTTTGCTTTTCAAAGAGCAGAGAAATATCTTTCTGTATGCATACCATTAGCAAAATTTGGAAGACAAAAGGCCCACCAAAAAGACTATATCTTTAAGAAAAGTAGGACAGCACATGTTTCTTATGAAAGTAAAAAATATATTTCTATACGACTAATACACAAAATGTACACGTGTCCAAAAAATTTAGGTGCCATTATGAAACAATGATATTAGGGAAATACAAATGGAATACAGGAAAAGATAAAACAACACATGATAATAAATTTAATGAACTGAAGGCCTGATGCCAATTTCAAAAGGGTTTGTTTTTTTTAATATATTAAAAAAAAACCCTAATGCTACTGTGAAATGCAATTTTAACTGGAAAAAGTTACCTTGGCATAAAAACTTTCTATAGAGGTGTACAGTATAAATCATGAGTTTTGCTCTCAAATAAGCATTTACCAAGTAAATCTAAGCGTATACACACATTTCTTTCTAGCAGGCTAAAAAAATAGTTGAGAAATTCAGGAGGAAAAGCTTAAAAAGGTAATGTGTTGTTGATCCTCCTAAACCACCTGCTAAAAGCACAAATATAAAAAAATAAAACACAACTCAAAAAAAAGGTACAAATATAAACACCACTGCTCAGTTCATGGTGTTGATGAGAATTTCCATGTAACCAAGGCATGTTTAGACACAGGACCTTGATGGAAATGACTTATTTGCGGGTTTTGAAGAAAGTCTCAAAGTTTAATGTAAACTGATCAAAAATAATTAAGAATTTGGCTATATTTTCTATTCCTGTGATGACCAATATAACTTGCAAGAATAAGTAAGCCGAAGAGAGCACCATTTGGCAAAGATTTGAAACTTGATTCCTTTCATTTCCTTATTCAACTGGAATCACTTTGTTCTTAAAAAAAAAAAAAAGGAACAATCATGGACATTAATATCATCGCCATCCCTTGGCTAGAATCACAGATAGTTCAATGTTTGATGCACCCAATGCACAATGTAACAGTCTGTGATGCTGCCTGAGGGTTAAGTAACTTGAACATGGGGCGATGCTGAAGACATTTTCCCTTTTTTTGAACAGTTGAAAGAAAATGTACTGTTTATGTCATCCAAATGAAAATTTCGACCTCAGCTCACCAACAAAGGCTGGATTAAAATCTTGGCCGTTTTGGCTGACTTTATAACCTATTAAAATGCTTTGAATATTTTTCAGAGGGGCATTTGCAAGTGACCACATAAATGTATAATCTGATTGGCTCATTCTCGCTCAAAACTATTTCTTTGGAAGTGTCATTTGGCAGGGAATAATCTGGCCAATTTTCCTACAGAATTCAGTTTCCAGAAATAAAAGTGATGGCCTCAATGACTTTCTCAATATTGTAAGAGTTAAAAGGTAGATTCCAATAAATCTAGAATTTCAAATTGTATAAAAATGTGAAGACCTTATTCAGTTTACCTCTCTCAATTAGTCTTGATGGTGTAAACAGAGCACTAAGACTGGAAGGGGGCTGTGCTGCAGTGCAGTGCACCACAGCAGAGCTGCCCAGGTCGGGTGAGGCTGCAACCCACTGTGTGCAGGCAGGCTACAAGCGTGCTGAAATAGCATGTTGATGCCTTCACCCTTGGGACAGCCAGACATCTGTTTACACAGTTTGCCATACGAATATTATTTTCTGTATTCCCTGACATAAAAAAAGGTTGAAAGGCACTGCATTAGCGAATTGAAAAGCAAAGTTTTAAAAAACATGCAGAGTTTTTCTACTGTTCATAAGTGTCTATGTTTTGAACGGCTGTTTTCCATTATAAAATAAAGAAAAATAAACATTGCTTCCAGGTACAGGGCTTACGGGGCTGCATATTGCAATATAAAATACACATCCTGCCACTAACATCTGTGTATCAGAGTTCTAATTCCATACCAAATAAGTAATTTATTATAGAAAAAAAATTCTATGATTAAATACTGCTCTTTGCGAATTCAGAATCTTTAACAGAACATACAACAATGCAACACGTCTGAATTTTTACATGCCTGTAAAAATACCGACTATTTGGTGGTCCCTCTAGAATGTTTTTAACCCTGACCTACTCTGTATTCAAAGTATTTTATAAACAAAGTAACTGGTTCAGAAAGGTTAGGTAACTTGCCTCCAAATTAGCAAAACTGGTAAATAGGGAATCAAGGAATCAAAAATGGGTCTGTTAGACTCCACTGCACACTGGAATAACTCAAAGTTGACCAGGAAATCAAAATCAGAGGAAAAAAGGGAAAATTGAGGTTAATGACTAAATTTTAATGAAGTTAATGCTTCCTTTAAGTAATAGTAGAATAACAGTAAAAATATATTGAAAAATACTTGGAGGCAAAAGCTTGGTCCACAGATATAGAGAATATTTTTTAAGTAGCTTACTCTTGGAGTGGATGACAAGCTCTGAACAACAAACACCACAGGGTTTCCTGCATTCTTAATGGCCTCAACCGCTTCTCTGTGAGAGGCATTCTGCAAATCTACTCCAGACACCTAAAAACACAGAAGCAATTTATTTCAATTAGAAGGGCAGCAGATCTTGTAGATAGGTTAATTCAAAGTTCATGCGTATTATCTAGTTATGAGAACAGCCAGAGTCGAATGAATTATACCAAAGCCAGAAAAAAATAAGATTGACCCAAAAAAGCTTTGCTGTTTTAGGAGATTATGTTTAAGGATATTAATGTTTCGCCTTCAAGAAAAGTAAATAAGGTAAATATCTTAATAACAATGGCCCTGATTAAATATAATTATCCAAAATAGGCAGCTCAGTCAGTAACAGAACCTTAAAAAGCGTCTGAGCTTGTAATTTCACCTCTGTCACTATCACAGTACACAATTCTGAGTGAGAGCAGGGGGTGGGGATCTCTCTGGACTCACCTTCTCTCAAGTAAACTGAGAAGAATGACATTTTAAGCAAATTGCCCATTATCACAGTTGAGAAGCTGAACACTTCTCAAATTACATCAAAAAAGAAGTATAAAAACACCCATAGGTTCTTTCTAAAAGAGTTCTGTTTTCAACAAATTTGAGTATGTGGAATCTAGAAAAATGGTAGAGATGAACTTATTTGCAAAGCAGAAATCGAGTCACAGATGTAGAGAACAAATTTACAGTTACCAAGGGGGGAAGGGAGGGGGCTGGATGAATTGGGATATTGGGACTGACATACATACACTACTATGTATAAAATAGATAACTAATGAGAACCTACTGTATAGCACAGGGAACTCTACTCAATGCTCTGTGGTGATCTAAATGGGAAGGAAATCTAAAAAAGAGTGGGTATATGTATACATATAACTGATTCACTTTGCTGTACAGCAAGAAACTAACCAACATTGTAAAGCAACTATACTCCAATAAAAATTAATTTAAAAAACTGGGGGAAGTGTAAACATCTCCTTATTATATAAATCTGGGAGAACACAACTTGTGAACATGCCCATAATCTCAAAGAGCATTCTGTATTTATCAGACATATTTACAAGAACCAATTTTTGAAACTGATAACGTAAGGAAGCCTTGGTAAAAGTCGAGGTGGTTTACAGCCAGTTGATAGCGACAATTTGTGAATATTGTTTGGCCATAAGGGAATCAAAGAAATAGGAATGTAAGTGAAGAGGGATGTGGGATCAAGTTTGGTTTTTGTTTTTAAGATGGGATAGATTACAGTAATAATGATGCAGTGGAAAGGAAAACTGAAGGGTAGAGAGGAGTGATGACCGTGGAAGCAAATCCTTGGACAGTGAAAAGAGAATGACTTCCACTGTACAAGTTAGACTGGCTCTGGATAGAAGAAACATAAATAGTTCATTTGCTGTGACAAATACAGTCAGAAAAAAGCTTTGGTATGCAGTGGGAGCAAGGGGAAACTCTCTTTTGACTGCTTCTATTTTCTCAATGAAATAAGAAACAAGAACCGTAAACAGAGATTAAGACTGCGGCAGGAGGCATAGGAGGTTTGCAGTAGTTACCTCTGAAAGTAGAAGAATGGAACAACTCGGGAAATACTACAGGGAAGAATTAAAGACCCACTTGAGGGGGTGGTCATGAATTTAAAATGAGACCAGACAGCATGGGTGGTTATTTTCTCCAGTCGTGCTAGAGATCTGAAAAGAGCAAAAAGTTGCACTTAACTAGGATGTGGTTGGTTCTCCCAGGCAAGTTCAGGGAAAGGAAAGAGGATCAAAGGAGTTGGAAGTATAAGCAAGGGAGCGATAGGATGATAAGTCACTGAATCCGAGCAGAGTGAGGAAGAAAGTGAGCATGCCAGAAGCCGAGAGACAGAAGCGAGGGTCCTAAGGTAGGAGATACGAGCCCAGTGTGTTAGAGGGGTTTAAACCCAGGTTAAGTCTAAAGTACAGAGAAAGAGGAGAGAGAGGAAAGAGGTGAGGTCAGGGAGGCAGCTGAAGCCACCTGCAAAATCCAAAAGGCCATGGCAAGAACTTTGGCTTTTTATTCTAACAGGTATCAATGAAGATTTTAATGCTCTGTAAAAGCTCTTTTCCCACATGAGTTGAGGAAGGATACGAATAATAGTAAACGAAAAACATACAGACAAAAATTAAAGTAACACATAAAAGCTGTCAAAACAGTTTGATGAAGCTTCTTTCAAATAACCGGATCCCCGAAATATTCAACAGTAAGAGAAGTAGAGGCTATATGAGACGCCTTCCTCCTCTAGTAATTATCAGTTTTTGTTTCCCTAACAGAGATTTCCACATTGTTAAATGGGAATCACCGAAGTCGGGAAGGTAGGAAAAAAACAGTATTCTGTCATATTACAACACAAAAATAATCTTAGTTTTTCTCAGCTTTAAAATTATAACTTAAGAGTATGTTCATTCACCCAGATGAAGACCCATTTCTAAAAATTACATTAAATTCTAACTTCCTAGTTTAAAAAACTCTTCTTTATATGAACCTAAACCTTTCATGCAATTGTTTCAAGACAAAGAGAAATGATTATTAAACTTCACTAACAAAACAAAAAAGTAATGCTTTTCATAGAAAAAAGTAAATGACTCATTATGCTTCACAAAATATATATTAGAGTGTAACATTTCAGGGCTGTTGTGAATTTGAAGAAATATAAATTATTAAATATGAGATAAAACAGTGGGCTCTTATTAGTATGTGTATGAGTGATGATGATTAAATGAGAGAATACTTTATATTCAACTGAGTGCAGAGAAAGATGAGAAAAAGAAACAAAATTCAAAAAGATTAAAAAAGTAAATAATCCAATTAGAAAACAGGCAAAAACACAAACAAACATTTCACCAAAGAGGGTACTGGATGGCAATCAAGTACATGAAAAGTTCTTTCTCATTAGCCATTAGGGAACCACAAATTAAAACAACAATGATATCACTACATACCTATCAAGAATGGCTAAAATGAAAAACAATGACAACACCAAATGTTGATGAGGATGCAGAGAAACTGAATCACTCATACATTGCTGGTGGAAATACAAAACAGTACAGCCATTCTGGAAAATAGTTTGACAGTTTCTTAAAACTAAAAAGGAACTTAACATACAACCCAGCAATTACACTCTTGGGCATCTATCCCAGAGACACAAAAGACTTATCTTCACTCAGGAACTTGTATACAAATGTTTATAGGAGCTTTATTCATAATAGCCACGAACTGGAAACCACCAAAGTGACTTTCAGTGGGTGAATGGTTAAACAGTGGTACCTCCATACCATGGGATACTACTCATCCATAAAAAGGGATGAACGAGGAGGCATCTTCAAGTTGGCAGAGGAGTAAGATGCGGAGATCACCTTCCTCCCCACAAATACATCAGAAATACATCTACATGTGGAACAACCCTTACAGAACACCTACGGAACACTGGCAGAAAACCTCAGACCTCCCAAAAGGCAAGAAACTCCCCACGTACCTGGGTAGGGCAAAAAGAGAAAAGAATAAACAGAGACAAAAGATTAGGGACGGGACCTGCACCAGTGGGAGGGAGCTGTGAAGGAGGAAAAGTTTCCACACACTGGGAAGCTCCTGCACCGGTGGAGACGGGGGCTGGGCAGAGGGGAAGCTTCAGAGCCAAGGAGGACAGCGCAGCAACAGGGGTGCGGAGGGCAAAGCAGAGAGATTCCCGCACAGAGGATCGGTGCCGACCGGCTCTCACCAGCCCGAGAGTCTTGTCTGCTCACCCGCCAGAGAGGGTGGGAGCGGGGAGCTGAGGCTCGGGTTTCGGAGGTCAGATCCCAGGGAGAGGACTGGGGTTGGCTGAGTGAACACAGCCTGAAGGGGGCTAGTGCGCCACAGCTAGACGGGAGCGAGTCCGGGAAAAAGTCTGGAACTGCCTAAGAGGCAAGAGACCATTTTTTCGGGGTGCGCGAGGAGACGGGATTCACAGCATCACCTAAACGAGCTCCAGAGACGGGCACGAGCTGTGGCTATCAGCGTGGACCCCAGAGATGGGCATGAGACACTAAGGCGGCTGCTGCTGCAGCCAGCAAGAATCCTGTGTGCAAGCACAGATCACTATCCACACCTCCCCTCCTGGGAGCCTGTGTCGCCCACCACTGCCAGGGTCCTGAGATCCAGGGACAATTTCCACGGGAGAACATACGGAGTGCCGCAGGCTGTTGCAACATCACCTTGGCCTCTGTCACGGCAAGCTCGCCCCGCATTCTGTACCCCTCCATCCTCCTGACTGAGTGAGCCAGAGACCCCCAATCAGCTGCTCCTTTAACCCCGTCCTGTCTGGGCGGGGAACAGATGTGCTCAGGGGACCTACACACAGAGGCGGGGTCAGATCCAAAGCTGAACCCCAGGAACTGTGCAAACAAAGAAGAGTGAGGGAAATTTCTCCCAGAAGCTTCAGGAGCAGCAGATTAAATGTCCACAATAAACGCGATGTACCCTTCATCTCTGGAATACCTGAATAGACAACGAATCATCCCAAAATTGAGGCAGTAGACGTTAGGAGCAACTGTACACTTAGGGTTTGCTTTCTGCATCGAATTTGTTTCTGGTTTTAGGTTTATCTTGGTTTAGTATTTACAGCTAATTACCAATAGTAGATTTCTTTTATTGATTGGGTTGCTCTCTTCCTTTTTTTATATATATATTTTTTTCTTTTTCCTTTTTCTCTTTTTGTGATTGTGTATGTGTATGCTTCTTTGTGTGATTTAGTCTGCATAGCTTTGCTTTTCCCATTTGCCTAGGGTTCTGTCTGTCCGTTTTTCGGGTTTTTTTTGTTAGTATAGTGTTTAGCGCCTGTTGTCATTGGTGGATTTGTTTCTTGGTTTGGTTGCTCTTTCTTTTTTAATTACTTTTAATTTTTTAAATTGTTAATAATTTTTATTTTAATAACTATATCTTCTTTTTCTTTTCTTTCTTTCTTTTTTTTTTCTCCCTTTTCTTCTGAGCCATGTGGCTGACAGGGTCTTGGTGCTCTGGCCAGGTGTCAAGCCTGAGCCTCTGAGGTGGGAGAGCCGAGAGCCGAGTTGAGG